CAAACACACAAACACACAAATCATGGCTTTGAGTTTTATGGTGCCACCTACTGTGAAGATAAACAAGGATTTTCTTTTGTTGCATTAAATAAAGAGGTGCTTCGACAGTATGTGGCAATAGCTCCATCTGCTGGCCAGCCTCATGTCCAGCCTGAGCATTTAAGTAAAGTCTGCAGAGTAGAAATGACATCATCCCCCATTATGTGAGAGTGCAGGTGTGTGCATCCCATACAGACAATTTGCCAAGAAAATAAATCACAGACATTACTCGGCTAATGAATTTGGCATCAATAAAAACAGAAACGCCTGCAAGTGTGCATGCTTGTATTTCTTAGCTTTCATGAGAACAAAATACTCTCAGGAGGATGAAAAAGATGAGAATAATAAGCTAAATTAAGATCTGGATTGTGTCCTTTTCTTTACCCTGAAAAAACTCCACCAAAGGCAAAAGTTTTATTAGATGGACACATTTTTTAATCAGCTCCTTGCTACTGAACTCACTAACAGATTACACTGATTATTCTGGCACTCTCAGTGGCGTTGAGCGAGGCTTCCTGCTGTCAGTGCTGCTATTTGCTTTGGAAGCCATTAGAAGCGAGCCGACCATACGTTTACTTAAAGATTAAGGTTTGAGGGTTAGAGTTATGGGAAAGGAAGTCTCAAACAGAGTCCTCCACATTTTATAACAGTACTTTTAGTGTCTACATACCATCTCTCCAGATGCATGCTAGCACGTTTCTCTGGGTCTTTTGGCGGGAACATGGTGGGGCGGATCTGTGTGTGACGACTGCTTGGAACGTCGGACCAGTCCGAGTACCACTGGCCCTCCTTGGTCATCAGCTACGGGNNGGGGGGGGGGGGGGAAGCAGGTTACAGACCTACAGAATTCGGTCCGACTTCGAAGCTGAAGTGCTTCCATGACTTAAACACTGTGTTCCATTATAGTTTGTTGTTGTAGTGGTTGGTTTGCTGTAATGACCGCCAAAGACTAAACGTACCTTCCAGGAAGTGACCCCAGGCATCCACTTCAGTCCTGGCAGATCAGCTGAGCTGTCGGCCAGTTCCAGCGCTCCTGGCAATGGAAATGGGAAAGACATTACGACTTGGCAGAAAATGGCTGAGTGGTTATATTTAGACGTTATTTTCATATACTATATTCAGATGCATTTAACATCTCAGAAGTGACGGGAGAATTTTTTTTGTAGGCTCTGCAGCTATTGACCTTATGCGTTTCGGCAACAAGTTGCTGTCCAACTCTGCTCTGTTTTGTGTTATCTGACCAGTTGTACAATGTAACATAGACCACCATGGCAGGGGGAAAATGAGACTTTCTGCCTTGGCAGTCTTTAACAGTATGATCTCATAATAGAAATGCTCTGTGTGGGCATTTCAACATGTGTTAATACAATATTTATTCATCCAGAACACAGTCACAGAGGAGACTCATTTGGTTTGAGTTACATTATTACACTGCACAGGATTTTCAAACGGATCGGATTTAGTTGCATGTGCACAAGTTATACGATCATACCAAATATTTTGCACACATTGTTTTAGGGAATGCTTGTGGTCATACCATCTCAGGTTCAGTGAATCAGAATCAGATAGGAACACTGGTTCTGTTTGATTGCCAGACTAACAATCCAGAAAGCAGCAGGTTTAGTGATTGTGATAAAGGAAAAAAACTCATTAGCATGCTGAAAAAACATAAGCCATTAATATATAACCTAGAACTGCCAATATATTGATAATTAATTAGTTCAGTGATTTTTCAAAACAAAATGTCATAAGTTCTCTTGTTTCAGGATGTCAAATGTGTACCTATTTTTACTTCCATTCTCTTATGTGTATGAATAATAATGAATAATAATGAATATTAGTTAAGTTGGTTTTTAAAATGTTGGTCGGACAAAATGAGCAAGTCACCCTGGACTTGAGGAAGTTGTGATGGCCTTTTGTCACAGTTTCCTGCCATTTTATAGAGCAACAATAACTGATTAATTGAAAGAATAATCTGGAGATGAATCAGTAATAAAAACAATAATTGTTAGCTGCAACCCGAATCATCGTACTAATAAGCATCAGTGCTCTTTTCACCATGAAAACATCGAGCCATTGTTACAACACAGAGTAAGCTGTGAGGCTGTACACTAGTTTTAGGCTAGCTGGGAGCTAGTTAACACGTAGATTCATTTGTGATTAACAGTCAGAAATGTGACATGGTATGACAGTGTCTACGAGAGTCTACTAGGATTTTGGTTTAAAACAAATGTTCTTATTGTTTCCATCCTGTTTCAGCAACAAAAGCTGAGAGAAAGTCCTCAGTTTCTACTGAGCAAAGAGTTTAGAGA